GTTTTTTTTTTTTTGTCAAACAATCGAATTTCATTCATTTAATTGATCAAAGTACAAAGGGAGGAGATTAAGCATCCTCCAACAATAATACAACATAATTGAAATGCAATAAACATTAAAACAGATAGATCATCGTAGAAGATAGACAGCGGATCCAAGACATGCCTCGGATGCGTCAAGAGGGTCTTCACGGCAAAGCCGGAGATTCTCATGTTAGTCACTTTACAAAGTGACTTTGAAGATCTCGACATAAAGCTTGGGAGTTCGAACACTCTCCAAGAGAGGGAAAAAGATACGACCAATCTCAAAGAGATGAAGGAAGGTGGAGTTGAAATCTTCCACCGGGAGTAGATTACAGGATTTGAGAATCCATAAAACTTTGATCTTCTCTCAATAGAGAAGATATCGAGCTTGCAAAACACAGGATTTGAGAATCCAGAAAACTTTGACCCTCTCCTACGTGGGGATATGAATCTCGACGATTGCTGAAATGAAGCACAGTGAGGGCGAATTGGTGTCTCCAGGCTCGATTTGGAGGACAAGGGTTTTAACGAGTTCTGTAACATCATACCTAAATCGACAAAAAATGCGGTACAACGTTGCAAGGGTAACTCTACGGACTCTCCATCGTGATTGTGGGCCTTTGCATCAAATATGGATTGGAATATTTTGGAGGGTATGAGATCCACACATGGCCCTAGAGCAATATAATTATAATGGGCCAGGCCCATAGAGACATATCTCATAGATTTGGACTTCCTCACCGGAATAGTACGCGTACACTTGATAAAGACCAGTTCCGATGGAGATGGGGGGAAGAGCTGGGTCAGATCCGTAACGACAGGCTTGGGTGAGATATCGGTTGAGTGTGTGACCAGAGCTTCGCCGGAAAAGCTCGGGTGGATGACTATAACATGAAGGGCTCTCATGAACGGAGCCCACGATGAAAATCTTCGAGGAGGAGAGATGTAAGGCAACGTTGCAGATGGATGTAGATCCGGCGGGTCTGGCCGGACCGACGGATCCGGGGGTATCACAATCAACGTCTTCGGTGACTCCCGATCTGGCCGAACCGAGGAAGACAGGGAGCGGTCTGGTGGCTCAGCCCGATTTAAGATCATAGAGAGAAATGTTCTTTTCTTTGGAGTTAGGAGAAGCAATGAAACGAACCTGTAAATCTTCACTCGCCGGGAAAGTGAGCCAACAGAGGGAGAAAATCCCGATGATGGCTTAAGACGAGAGAGGTTCCGTTCTGCAGAGGAGAACCAGTGGCGGCGAGGTTGGAGCAGCAATCCATCACGGAGGAGTAGAGATGCAACGGCAACCTCATTTTGCGGGTCTGGGAGAAAAATGGCTAGGACGAATTCAATCCACTCTTAATTAGGTTAATAGGAATGCTCATTTCTAGTTTAAACGATTTTTTTTTATCAATCGTCCGTTTGATTGGTAATAAACGAGCAGTTGAGCTATACCTCGTTTGAGAAAAGAAGTTTACCAATCTGAACGTACCGGAGAAAACAAAGCATGCTTGAAATTAAAAATAAAAACCTTGGTCAATTTCTAATAGATAAGATAAAGTGAAATAAAAACAAGATAAAAACGTTATCTGGAAATGATAAAACATCAAGATAATAATGTCTTCGTCAAACTTAAAAACCATCGTATCATTCGTAATTATCCAGAGGAAAACGACACAGATATTAAATTTCTTTTTTAAAAAAATGAAACTTCTTTTTTTATTAAAAAGTACAAGAAAGAAATAAAAATATCCATTTTTTTCACGATCATATCCACAGTACACCATCACATCGCGAACCTTCTTTAATAACCGACACGTGTCAGTCACTTATCTAACAAAAATCTCACGAACCAGTAAGCCTCCGGTATTCAACCGTCTAAACCGGTCATCTCTCCCAAATCATATGGCTCACTCTCACTTAACCCTGCTCTATATAAACATAAATTCTCTCACACTCTTCAAAAAAGAAAAACTCTTTCGGAATCTGAAAAGCCAAAATCTCAAAAATATTAGTGGAATTTAGATGAACAGAGTGATTAATCAGCTTTCCGGTAAGTTGATGAAGGATAAAAGTATCATCACCGGAACTAGCGGTGGAGATTCGACGACTTTCCGATCTGCCGTCAAGGAATCTACATCATCGCCGTCGAATTCAGTCGCGTCTTCGCCTTCTTCGGTGAGGAGACTAAAAGGCGATCTGGAATCGAGCCGGTTTGGTGCGGCGGCGAGTGAGAAGCTGAGACTGGCGGAGGAATCTCTGAGGACGGTTATGTTTCTGAGCTGTTGGGGATCTTGTTAGATCTGG